GGCCTGAACGACAACAAAAGGCAAAAATCGCTTGGCACGGAACGTGTTAAAAGATTATTTTAACGTTAATTTTATAAAAGACGAAAACACAAGAATAAAGTTAAAATACCTGATAAATTAAATAGTTCCTCGACAACATGTAGCTTCATACTTTTTTTTTTTTATAGAGAATATCGAATTGTAGAGAGTATCGAATTAATCAAACAAAAAAGTGCAGTATTTCGCCTAAAGAGAATTAAAAAAATGATGACTTTGCATCTAGAAAGATGACTTGCTACGAGAAAGAAACTATTGCCATTGTCATGTTACGGCTCCCTCTATACTAAACTTAAATTTTTATTAACAAAGTCTTCAAAAAATGAAGCCGATCAAATCACGCGTATTCATCATGTATACAAATACATAACATGTAATATACTAATACACGCTACATGAACTAACTTACTTTATTATATATGCATCGATTCATTTCACTAATGATTTCCACAAATTTGTTCAATTTAATTTATCCGCAGAGGTCCTGAGGATGTATCCATTATTATCAATGTTAACTAGAGAGGTATCGGAGAAATACACATTCAAAGGTACGAAGATCACTATAGAAAAGGGGACGATAGTGTGGATACCGGCTTATGGAATTCAAAGGGATTCCAATATTTATCCAGACCCGGACAAATTCGATCCGGAGAGATTTCACGAGGATGCCGTCGCTTCTAGACACCCTATGACTTATCTGTCATTCGGTAATGGTCCAAGAAACTGCATTGGTACGTTAACGAACTGTTAGATTTCCATTTGGTGGGACATTCGATTGACGCAGAAACGCAAATGTGTGAAAAATTTGAAAATAGATATATCAACATGTTATTGTCAAGATAAATTTTAGGCACAGTTTATCACCTGGATTACATTTCTTCGTGAAATTTTATTTCGAATTTTACTCGAAGGATGAATTTTTATAAACATTCGTAATCTAATTACAAATCAACGTCATAAGCTGTTGAATTGATATTGGATAACTATTTAAATAATTAATGAGTGATTAACGAAAGTTTCACACGAAATTACAAAGAAAGCATTATTAATTCAGTCAACATATTTAAACACTATTTCTATTTAAACACTAAATCCTCTGTTCTTAATATACATGTATAAAATTGGGGATTAGGTTAATATCATTGATTTTCAATTTCTTGCCAAATGAATGTGTAATGTTGTGATGATGATAATTTTCAGGTGCCCGTTTCGCGTATTGCCAAAGCAAGATTGGACTAGCAACGATTCTCCGCAATTACAAAGTCAACGTTTGCGAGGAAACTAAGATTCCATATGAAAGTGATCCGTACCTATTTTTGTTGACCTTGAGAGGTGGTGTGCACTTGAAAATAACCAAAGCGGAAAATTAACAAAACTAATTTTATTAATAATCTTCTCTCCAATATTTAATTTTATTTTTCTTAAACAAAACTAATTTTATTAATAATCTTCTCTTTCTATCAAGATAAGATCTAATAATAATATCTAATAATAATAATAATAATAATAATAATAATAATAATAATAATAAGATAAGATCTATAAGATCTAATTTTCATTTTTCTTATCCTTCTGTCGAATTCATTGATTGGATGGAAGATTTGACAATTACAAAGATTTGACAATACTACACTTTCAAATTTCGGATTGTCAGTCCACAAAATTTGTTTAAATTACGTCTGTAGATATATATTATTATTGTATACATTATATATTACTTTGGGTTGAATATATTACTGCAAACAGAATAAATCTATTAAAATTAGGGAAATGAAAGCGTTCGAGAAAATTGCATCAATGTTCTGATCATCACTTTTCTCTAAATGAGAAATCAGCGTAATTTATGAACGGTTTTACAACAGAAACAAAAGATTTGAAACACTCGTCAATTTTGGATGAATACACGAAATGGAAATAAATCATTATTTTGATGAAAATCTTTTAGATATAAAATACTAGTTCAGTTGTCTACTGATATTGCGAGATATATGGAAAAGTAGAATTAGCGATTACAACTGAATTCTATTACGTGAAAGATTGTTTTTCAATAGTTTCGAACATTTGCATTTGATGGAAATCTTTTTTAGCCGGAGGTAGTATAATAATGTTTTCATTTTAAGCGGACATCGCTATTATATAAAAATGTAAATTGTAAACAGTCGCGATAATTAATACGTTAATGCGTCGAGCGTTGATTAATCATGTTTGTTCAGCCAGAGCAGCATGACTCTCGGAAAATATTGTTTCCACACAGTTTGAATTATCTGTACTACTTACTGAAACTGCCTCGTCACGAATGACACAGCATGTTTCACCTATGTTTTACGCTTCAGTTCTAGCAGATAATATAAACATACAGGCACTCAGATACAAATGTTATTTTTTCGCGTCAAATTTTTCCATCTCATTCGAATATCAAAAGACAGATGATTATCTTGACAATTGAGCATCTGCTTCGAATTTTCTATTTCCTCCATCTTCCAGTCTCAATAATTTCATCAGTGAAATTTCTTCGTCTTTCCAATTGAATAATTAGCAATACCCAATTTTCATGTCATTTAATTTTCGTTCGAAACATTTTCTCATACAGCAAACAATCTTTGAGCATTCGTAAAATCATCAGACGTCGCGTTTTATCTTATTATTATAATTCACGACAGATATTTTAGTCGTTAATCTGCTGTATCATCGTTAACAATTGTAAAAAGGACCACGAAAGTTTAAAAACAAGCCATCAGCGACTCACAATTCCTTTGATAAGTCTACAAGTCGATAAAGAAAAAAATTTGACCTTAAAATTCATTCTAATAATTTTTTCAAATCTTTTGTACTATAATTCCATATAATTCGTATAATTTTTCAAGATTATAATATAATTAGTATATAATTATAATTATATTGTAAATATAAATATAAATATAATTATATTATAATATGAATTTGCAGATCATAATTTCATACGAAGGCGCGCTACAAATGAAAAAGAACAGATATGAAAATTTCAAACTTGATTCAACGTGAAAAACATTACGAGGGTTTAAATGAACATTAAATTTCCCTAATATGATAGATAACTGATGTCCCAGGAACAGCTTCGAATGACATAACATTTTTATTAACGATTATATACTTCAAGAGATTCCTCAGTTATCAGAGATTTATCAAAATCATTCCCTGATTACATCGTTTATAATCATAAACAGATTGTACACATGCATGTGTAAATACATGCATACGTCAGACTCTGCTGAACGTCGCATGCGTGCGCAAGGTTCCAGTTGACTTCGACATCCGACGAGATCTCGTTTTCCAGACTTCACGCTCCAACGATGGAGTAATTATTATCAGTACTTTGCACTAATAATTCATTATTGATCCAGTTTCGTAGAGCAGGTAAGTAACAGTTTGATTTCCTGTTGCAAACGTTCTCGAGATCAACGCTGTGGTATTTAAATTTGAAGTCGCAGTTTTAAAGTGCATAAACCTTGTTCGTAATTCAGCGAATCTAGATCATCTAAGATTGGAAAATTCACGAGAGGAATCTTGCTGAGTAAATCTTGATCAAAGATGAATCTTATTAAATTCTACATTGATTTTCTGATGTTTCACAATGTAACGTGATGTTGCAGCATTATGTAGTTAGTGAAAGAAATGCTGAGTGACGTGTGGTAGGGGGAATCTTCGCGTGATAAATGCTATTATTAGATCAGCATACACTCTTCATATACTTTTCAAGATCAAGGATGCATTGACACGTCTAATTTCTTTTGCAATATTTTTTGTGAAAACAAATGACATATTAATCACAATTAGTTATAACTTTCGTAAACAGTTTTAGTAGTTATCATTGGTTTTCATAGAGCCAAAAGAGGTTAGAGTTATGTTAATACTTCTCTGACTTCATTGTTCAAAGGTGACCAAACACTTGCTCGCCTTTAAGATAATTTTTCTTAATAAATTTGAGAGAGAACAAAACCACTAATAATTTTCATTAAAATTTTTAATAAAATTACCAATAATTTCTTGATTCGTGAAACTGACATCCACATCGTTCGGAACATAGAGGGTACCATGCGGACCATTTTCAAATATGTCCCGGAGATGAAAAAGCGACAGGAATTGTCGGCAATAATTTTTGTTCACTCGAATTTAGCGAACTGCAACATGGATTTTTACCAACTCCTCTTCGCTGTTGGTGCCATTTTTTTCGCCGTCTATTACTACTATACCTCGGTTTACAATTATTGGAAAAACCGTGGTGTACCCGGGCCAAAGCCATCGATATTAACTGGGAACATTATGGGCCCCCTTACTCCAAAAACGTGCCTAGCTACGTCTATAAAAAAATGGTACGACGAACTAAAGAGTGAACCATTTTTTGGAATATATGAAGGACATACACCGGTGCTTGTTATTAACGACCTTGAATTGGTCAGAGATGTCTTTATCAGGGACTTTTCTGTGTTCATGGATCGAGGAACTAAAGTATTCGAAAAGGTACGCTCTTACGTTAAATTACAGCGCTTTGTGCCAAATTCACTCCGTGATATCGTGTGATTTTTTGAAGTATTTTGTTGATGACATTTCCAAAGTTTGTTTTAAAATTTACTTTACACTAGAGTTGGACAGTAGTCAATTAGTTTTGTAATTAATTACCTAATGCAACCATAGTAATGTCATTACTGAATTATTAATCAATTAATCGTTGTTGAATAAAAGCAGTAATCTCCATAAACTTTTGTAAATTTGTAATCGTTAGTCACTAAGTGATTAATTTATATTTTATTAGGATCTATAACGTGCTGTTTCTTCATATTTCCGCGACACGTATTATTTATTTTTATAATCTAATTAAACACACGAATATTAAAAAATGATCCAATTGAATACTGATGTATTTCAATTAATAAAATTACTTTATAACTTAATTAGGATACATAAATTAATGATTTATATTGAAAAAAAATATATTAATTGCAATAATATAATTTATATTATATTAATTATATATTTATATTATA